AAGAATTTTAAATTTTGATCTTTAAATAAAGATATCTTGTGATCTAGCAATTAGAATAAATTGATTTTTATAATATTTAATTCGTCTCATTAAGATGAATTAAATATTATAAAAATCAATTTATTCTAATTACTAGAACACAAGATATATTTATTTAAAGATCAAAATTTAAAATTCTTCATTACACCCTTTTACTATGGGGGTTCCCATATTTGATTTCAACCTATGTTTTTAGATATACAAAATATACTCAAAAAAACTAAGAACAAAAATAGAGAAATAGTATCACAACAAGAACTAATACCTAGACCTCTTTGCGTATTTGAAACAATCTCAAGATTATACTAAAAACTTTTAACAAAAAAAAACATTTTATATGACAAAATCGAAGTTTTTATTATTACAAAAAAAGATATTGAGAGAAATCAAATACTTATGCTCTATAGCTTCTCATATTTAAAAACAACTTACAATGCTACAATACTAAATAGCTTTTACAAACTAATATCCTATTAACATTGCTTATATATATAGCAACAATATTATTCTCTAATATATTACTCACTATTAAAACCAAGAGAATAAAACTAGAATAAACTCTATTTCAATTAACTAATATTTATTCATACAATTTTCTAAACTTAAACAAACAGAATAACATAATTATTCTTTTATTATTAAATGCACTAATTGCAAATATAAATATTCATATAGAATACAACAAAAATTTAGAAATTAAAAATCTACCTAGTGAAGCTCTCCTATTAGATATTTGTAAACAAAAATTTTTTTATAATTAGTTTATACTAAAACTTCTACAAATACCATATCTACATAATACTAAAACAATATTTAGATTAATTACAGATTTGTAAAATTACTTAAAATAAGTTAAACAAAACTAGATTACAAAATAGTCATTAACTATAAAAGATATCAATTAGAGCTATACAACAGATTATTTAATATATAAGAAGCACCTCTTTTTTTAAACACAAGCTAGTACTTTGTTTCTCTAAAAAAATTCAAAGTAAAAATTTTAGTTAATAAACTTCTAACTCATCTCACTAAACATTTTTACAACTCAACAAAATATAAAAACTACTTATATGCATGATATTGAATAGCTTCTTAAGACCTTTTCTACTTGCTTACTTGCTTATGCAATTAAATAAGATTAGAAATACTAATCAGATAAGTAATACAGAAAATAAGCAAACAAAAAGTAATATACCAATATAGATGATATTATTTATAACTATAAAATCTTATACTTGATTAGAAACTACCCTATTAGCTTTATTACTGAGGATACCTTAGTCCCATTTGAAAATATAATGCAAAAAGAAAAGTTTATATCACTGCTATACCATATAATTTTTATATTGATATATAACAAAATCTAGTTACTATCTAGGCAATATATATATAAAACTTTTTATCAGACTCTAAACTATTACACTTATTTATACTAGATAAAACTTTATATAATTTACAAATATTACTCTTTTCTAAATTATAAAACTTTATTAACTCTAATTATCTAATCTATCAACAAATATACAAAGACTAGAGGTCTTTAACCTTTCTAGCTAAGCTTAAGTTGAGAGTAAATTAGCTCTTGCTTCTATCCTCTATAGATATAAATAATCATTACTCTACTTATATAATTTGTAATTCATTTTTCTATATTATAATAAAGAGATTAAGAAAAGACCTCATTTAATAAAAAGAAAAAAAATAAAAATAAATATAAAGAAATCAAATTAAAATATTAAAAGAATATCAAAATCTTATTATTTAATATCTTCTTTGCAATTACTATTTTTTTAATATAGTTTTTGAAGTAGTTTATATCATTTGTTCTGTTATATATATTTTGATCTTTATTTTATATTATTTTATTAATTGATATTTTTTTTATATTTAAACTTTTCTATTAACATAGCTTCTAAGATAGTTTTATTATTTGTTTTTAGAGTATAATTATGACTTTTATCTAGTTTGCTAGATTCTATATAATGCTTTTTAGTTATATATATTAGTATATAATTTAAAATAATACTATTTCTTAATCTATTTTGATTAGCTTTGAATTCTCTATATATTTTTTTTAATTTAACTGATTCTTTATACTAACTATATTCTTTTTTAATATAACTTTTATAGTCATAGTAATAGTATTCTTTCAGAGTAGCTTATCATTCAATCATAACTCTCTAGTCTATAATATGTATATAGTAAAGAATTTTTTTTATAATTGAGTAATTCTTTGTTATATTATATATTACTATTCATTGATTTGACAAGACTAGAGCTTTTTTATAGAAAAAAGACTTAATTAAAACAATAAGACCTAAATTCTCTATTGTCTTCTTTATATAATCTGAGATAAATTTATTTATACTAGAAATACATTGTATAATTTTACTAAGAGAATTGTTCTTCATAAGTTAGTAGAGATATATCCAAAGTAGTATCTATATAAAAATAGAGATTTCTTTCTAAGTATATTTATTCAAACTTTTTTTATCTTTGAATATTATTTCTAATAACCTTTGAAAATATAGAGTTTTGCAGCAATAAATTTATTTTTTATTTACTTATATAGCTGCTATTATTTTTTTAGAAGAATATTAGCAAGATTTCTAATATTTAGAATTAATGTATATTGTTCTTTGTTTTAATTCTCTCTCTAGATACAACTACAACATATGTAGCCTTTCACTTTTGCATTTTTGTAAACAGGCTTGACCATTGTTTAACTAGTGTTTGTTTTTTTAAAACTCTGTTGTTTCTTTTATCTTCTCTTCGCATGGATTAAGATCTGTTTTAATAGTCCTCTTAGAGTTACCAAATTCAATTTTATTAGTCAAGATATCTGAAATCTTTTCAGAATCTTCATTACTATCTGCTGCAGAATTTTCAATTCTTTACTTGAAGTTTTATTTCCTTAAGAGGCTGTTGTTTTCTTTTCATATATTGCTTCTGCTTCTTCTGCCTAACTTACACAAGTTCCTGATGTATCTACTAGAGTTTCTTGAAGATTGTGCATAAATTATTTGTATTTGCTTGATTTGTATTGCTTTAATTTCCATTTTCTACATTTTTGTTTTTGGATCTAGTATAATAAGTTTTAATCAGTTTTACTTTAGCTCATGTTTTTCTGATACTAACATCTTTCATTTCTTAGACACAAGGGCAGGAGCCCTCGTTCTTGTGGCTGTGTTGGTGTAGTCTTTTCTTGAAGAGTCCCTTCATTTCTTCTGACACTCAACACCTGATATCACTGCAGAGTGCTTGTAGATCTGAATTCGCCTTTAAATTTAATTATTTATGACTCACTTCAACAAACTGAATTGACTTGTAAATTCGAATCGGATTATTAAGACTCGGATTCTGATTAAACTGATTGTTAGAAAGTCACCGAAAGACGACCTTAAAAAAAATTGATTAATTGTGATAGATTAGATATTATAACCCTCGCCCCTGATATCAATAAATAGATTTATTACACTCCTCTATGCTTATAAAGATTAACAAATTTCATCCTATCCGTAAACTATTGGAGTTAAATTGGTCCCTAATTTGTCGATTTTATTTATACTCGTTATCGCTCTCCCAAAACAATAGTTACAATATGTAATACATGCTAAACCGCTAAAGTGAAAACCTTTAAACATGATTAACTAACAGAATAATCTACAAAAATTAAATAATCACAATAAAGTTTGCTATGCTGCAAAGCAAAAATCTGTAATGATTATATTACACTTTAGAGAACTTAGCCCCTGTTAGATTTTTATATTACATATTAATCACCAATTTAATATGTATTATCGAAAAGATCGAATACTGATAACATAGTGATTAATTATGTAATACCACAATTCTAACAAGAGCTAAGTGAAAATTATAATTATTGCGGGTTTGCTTTGCAGTATTCAATTCTACTTGAGTTCAATCTTTAGTCATTAAGAAGATTAGAATGAAAGTACAAGTTAACTAAAATAAATATTTTTACTATTAATTCAAGGCGGCGAAGCCGCCTACATGATCATGTCCTAGTTATTATTCTTAATAAACAAACTAAATACTATACAATTCTAAGGATAAGCACACATCTTATCATAGTCACAATTAATCTTACTACCAAGAATATTTTTAAATTTTGTCCATTTACAATATTCACTACCACAGCCTGGAATTAGATATGGTTCAAAGTCAACTACTAGTCGTATCAATGCATCGCTTCCTGTGCAAGTATAAATTTCAAAATAAATCGTAGAAGACCAATAAAAGACTTTTTGCTGCATATATTTCAAGCTCTTTATTTGTTCAAGAGTCAAATTTGCTGTAAGTGGGTATTTATTTTTATATACACCCTACAAATAAAAGATACAATAAATTTATTAGGAATAAAAGAAGTAAATATTATATTAATAAAATTTATGAACCCTTTTTTTAACATACCAATGTAGTGAGTAAAATAATTTGAGTAAATCCTTGACCTATTTTCATATCGGCTACCATCAATGAAGTCCCGTTTAAATAATTTTCAACGCTATTTACAAGTTGTGTAACATAATAACAGCCCAATCGCTCATTTAAAGGATGACCGTATGAATATAAAAAATAATATTTCATATTCCAGTAATAACTTGCTAATATAAGCTCATCATCACTTAATAACTCACACCAAGTGTCAGTTCTATTAAAATGAAGGACCCAGAATTCACAATAAAAAAACATATATGGTAATAATTGCGGATCAAGAGGAGGGTTGATATTGTATTTTTTGGACATTTTTTCAGCGATTGGTGCTAAAGTCTTATTACCGTATTCGTAAGTTTGCTCAATATAAAATGTAAAATTATTTGAAACTGTCTCGTTCCAACGCCGGCAGGCAATAAACATTTCTAAAATTTTATCTTGATCCTAAAAAAAAAAAAAACATAAATAAATATAAAAATTTAATTTATAAATAAATATATAATATTAAAAAAATATTTACACGTGGTAAAGACCAAATGTAGACAGGTTCATTTTTATTACTTCCTATAGGGCCAGTTCCATCAAAGATTCCTTCGGAGAAAGCCATTGTTGATTCGCCGACCCTTTAATAAAAAGTTGCCTCAAATTAATTGGGTCTTAATTTTTTCAGGTAGTTATAACTTTTATGATTAATATGATATATACAAGTCGTACCAAAAAAGTGCAACGGACTGAAATTTTGTAACATCAGTATCATATTTAACATTTTTCCAAAACTTTTCGTATCTTTTACGTGATTGTAAACCATCGTAATAAGATTCGAGTTTACCTCGTGTAATCAATCGCATATTTTTTCTCTTGGGGAAAGGATTTTTATACTAAAGAAGAGTTTTTTTTATTTATATATATAAATAATAAATAATCTTAGTCATTAAATTATAATGATATTATAATTACCCATTCTTTTGCGATAGGAACGTTTGAAAATGCTTTACTAATTTTATCAAAACCTTCATTCGTATCAGGATCTGGATATCTTGATCCTATAAATAATTTCAAAGATTATTTAATGTTATTAAATTGTATGTGGAAATGAGGAAATAATTACCATGTCTAGCAAGTAAATGTAACTGGCTTAATGTACACTTATCAGGATAATTTATTGGTTTAATGTCAAGTGAAAAAGCTGTTTTTTCTGGTTCAATTTCGAAGAAATGGTTATTGATAAGATAATCAGTAGAGCGTTTATATAAATATGGTTCATTATGTTCTAAGCATAGCGTTAGGTAAAATAAAGAAAAAATAAAAATAAAATATAAAATGTTAAATGAAGATGGCATCTTTAGAATTACGAAAATTACTCTTCAAAAAGTTGAAATGAAATTTCGTTAGTAAAAACCTTCTTTATTTTGCTTTTATATATGCCTAAATTATCTTTAAAAATAGTCGAAGTCCTATTTATTCTTACTGTAATAGTAATGCCATAATTAACTGATGAATAATTATTAATACGTAACTGCAGATTTTTTTGCTGCGTTGCTACTTATTTTCTTATTATAACAGTAC